ATTATCTCTTAACAAATAACGCTCTCGTAGTTTTTTCACCGATGAAGCAAAAATGATCTTTCAAATGGAATTAAAAGTAAGAAAATCGATTTACTCCATTTAGAGACATTGACAATTAAAAGAGAATTTTTTTTTAATGAAGATCGCCTTCAACTTTCTAATAAAAAAGATAGCAACTCGGTTGCGCGATCAACAATATGTGTCATCAAAAGTTCTAGAATAATGTTTATACGAGAAATGAACTTATGAAAAGTTATTCAAAGAAAACTGTTTTTCAGTGGCCACCCTAACCTGGTTATTAAAAAAAAACATTACTCATGATCCATAAGAGGTAACCCTTTATTATATTGAACAAAATTGCTTCTTATTGATTGTTTTCTAAACTTTCTACAACATTACATTGCTCTATACCAAATAACAACAAAGTTTGTATTTTCAATTCATCAACTAACATAAAAAGATCGACCAAACAATATGAAGAAACATTCCTCAAGACACCATGTACCTAAAAGTGAAGGTACAATACTCCTACACAACTTTGCCCAAAACACCATCTCGATTTAACAAATCTTTCTGGAGATGTGTATTTTTGTGTTCATGCTTGTCATTTTTACGTAAGCCCTTTTCAGAAGTTAGTCGCGTACAAAACTAAGGAAACAAAAGTGTAAATTGCATGTTTGTTAGTATCAAACAACTGTATAAAATTACAAGTAAGACTTCTCATGAAATGTTGCAAATATTGTATACAAAAGCCCATCTTTGTAAACAACATTGCTTTCAAGTTGCTCGTTTGCGTGAAATGAAATACAAGTTTACTTGAATGAATATTTACATCACAATTCAAATTCAGAATTTTTTGCTGTGTAGGAAACGATTTAACATGTACTAAAAAATATGTTTTCTGCATAAGAAACAACACAAACTATTTGTGGAAAAAGAGTTAAAAATGTGTTCTCATAGTTGATGTTCTATGATTTTGATCAATTTTGAAGTGTTAATTGTGTCACATAAACATTAGTTTAAAATCTAAAAATGAATGTTTTTTTTTGTTATTGATGCTTACACAGTATTTTTTCCTCTATTTATTTATTTATTTATTTATTTATTTATTCTTAATTAATTAATTTATTTATTTATTAACTTGTTTATGTATTTATTTATTTATTTATTTATTTATTTATTTATTTATTTATTTATTTATTTATTTATTTATTTATTTATTTATTTATTTATTTATTTATTTATTTATTTATTTAAGTATTTATTTATTTATTTATTTATTTATTTATTTATTTATTTATTTATTTATTTATTTATTTATTTATTTATTTATTTATTTATTTATTTATTTATTTATTTATTTATTTATTTATTTATTTATTTATTTATTTATTTATTTATTTATTTATTTATTTATTTATTTATTTATTTATTTATTTATTTATTTATTTATTTATTTATTTATTTATTTATTTATTTATTTATTTATTTATTTATTTATTTATTTATTTATTTATTTATTTATTTATTTATTTATTTATTTATTTATTTATTTATTTATTTATTTATTTATTTATTTATTTATTTATTTATTTATTTATTTATTTATTTATTTATTTATTTATTTATTTATTTATTTATTTATTTATTTATTTATTTATTTATTTATTTATTTATTTATTTATTTATTTATTTATTTATTTATTTATTTATTTATTTATTTATTTATTTATTTATTTATTTATTTATTTATTTATTTATTTATTTATTTATTTATTTATTTATTTATTTATTTATTTATTTATTTATTTATTTATTTATTTATTTATTTATTTATTTATTTATTTATTTATTTATTTATTTATTTATTTATTTATTTATTTATTTATTTATTTATTTATTTATTTATTTATTTATTTATTTATTTATTTATTTATTTATTTATTTATTTATTTATTTATTTATTTATTTATTTATTTATTTATTTATTTATTTATTTATTTATTTATTTATTTATTTATTTATTTATTTATTTATTTATTTATTTATTTATTTATTTATTTATTTATTTATTTATTTATTTATTTATTTATTTATTTATTTATTTATTTATTTATTTATTTATTTATTTATTTATTTATTTATTTATTTATTTATTTATTTATTTATTTATTTATTTATTTATTTATTTATTTATTTATTTATTTATTTATTTATTTATTTATTTATTTATTTATTTATTTATTTATTTATTTATTTATTTATTTATTTATTTATTTATTTATTTATTTATTTATTTATTTATTTATTTATTTATTTATTTATTTATTTATTTATTTATTTATTTATTTATTTATTTATTTATTTATTTATTTATTTATTTATTTATTTATTTATTTATTTATTTATTTATTTATTTATTTATTTATTTATTTATTTATTTATTTATTTATTTATTTATTTATTTATTTATTTATTTATTTATTTATTTATTTATTTATTTATTTATTTATTTATTTATTTATTTATTTATTTATTCGTCAATAAAAAAACGTAGACTACATAATAACATTATAACTTATGATCTATGATTTCGAAGTGCTTGGAAATATTTTTTTCAGTTTTTGACGAATATTTGTGATGTTTTTGTAGTGTGCATTATCGAATTCGTCATTTTGACAAATGAGGCGTAAGGAGTGAACAGATTATGCGAAGTATTATGGATTTCGAAGAGGAAAAAATAAAATCGGTTTGACATGGAGATGAATGATGTCTCAGAAAATCTGGATGGCACCAACGTGGATTGAACCTAGGCCCCAAAGATACAAAGATATAATTTGTAAAACAAATCCCATGAATACAGGGTTGTAGCCCAGAGGAAACCAAGCACCCTAGAGCAAAATCCAATAAAAGTTTTCTTAGAATATCAAAATTAGCTGAAATTTGTGACATCAACCTCAGGTGCTGTATATACCCAGGTGCTGAAATGACCCATATGTGATCCAAACTTACATTACACCCTTATTCAAGCCTAAATGCATTTTCAACATTGACCACTCATGTTCACGGGCCAAAGTGAGTATGAGTAATTTGTTTTCATCTATGACACTAAATGCTATGATCCATGAACAACTCATTATCAGTGTGTTCGCTTCCAAATTCATAAAAAATGCCAATTTTGTGAAAGCACTGGATGCGAATCCCGTTCAAATGCTAGCAACTTACCGGATTGCGCCAGGGAAAACAATTTTCATAAAGTTCAAGTCAGAAGAATAGGAGATGCATGCATTGACGCATAACTTTTTAGGAAAGGTTTATTTTTTCGTTATGTATATGGTATATGAAAAAGCAGTGGAGGTACGCATGTCACAATATGTGCGAGTGTATGATTTAGCATCGGAGGTTCCAGACCGCGTTCTAGCGTTTGTGCAGGGCTACTAGAATAAAGTTAGGTATGTCATGTGGGAGAAATCCCCTCAAGATCTGCTCTTCGACATATGCACAGGTTTACGAGATGCATACATGGATGTGAAAATGGAAATTTACACCTCGCTGCATTTTTTCGGTTCGGATGGGATGTATACTCTAGGACGAGCACAAAAACATGTGTTTCTTATACAAATAGAGGTGCACCGAATGAACTGCTGCCCCAAGCAGAAGGCCCAGTAGCCGCCAAAAAAAGCAACTACAGAAAGGAACGAAGAACGCAACAACAACGATAAGGTAACAGAGCGTGTCATTTTGCTATTTTTCCAAGAACTGCTCAACAGAATAAGGGGTATAAGGAGTAGATGAAATGGACGTAATTACCCCAAAGGACGAGAAAATCTGTAACGAAAAAATGATCAATGCTAAGAAACAGCCACCACTGGTATCGAAGGATCGGGATGCGCATTACTTCTACGAGTTTTTGATCGTAGACTAGACGGAAAAGCAGCGGAAAATAAGCGACTGGCACTGGTGATGTAAAATCGGGCAGGAGTAACCACGCAACAAATCACCACCCAGAAAACATCTACACGACGCCCATCCCGGTACGGAATAGTGTTTATGAAATTGTAAAATTGTAAGTCTTTTGGATTGGCATAGTTTTTTGCGCTTTCCAAATATCAAACTAAATAAAAAAGAAAAAGAACTCCACCCGCGATCCCCCGGGGAAAAAATCGACATTGCACAAAATGTTCATAGTTTCACAATTTAAATTTTTTAAGTCCTTCGGTGCCATAGAATTTGTAAAGACCTTATTAAATAAATATACGGAAGTAATTTGGAACTTTCCAACGTACATTCAGCGGAATGTTCCATGTGCATTTTCATAACGGTGGAACTTAATTTTGAACCAATTTGTTTCCACTCTTCCATACAAATGTAAATTTTAAAACTTCGTGTTTTGATATGCGTGAATTCTCTTTTGTCACACCGTTAAATCCCTAGAAAACTAGGTCAAATCTGCACACTCAGTGCTCGTATCATCACGGGAAAGTCGGGTCGGCAAGTGTTTCACTGTGTAGGTGACGGAGCTACGCCATGCAATATTCATGGTTTATTCTTTATTGTAAAGACACTTCTGGTAGCGTTTTTCAACCGAGGTTCTATGCTTTCCCGGTACGGCAACTGACATATATTTGCGTTGAGAGAGCAAGTACCTTCTTCCTCACTGCCGGCTGACTGAAATGGCAATGGAATTTGTTTTTCGCGACTATCCAGGAAAATTGGAGCCTAGGGAATGAATATAAACAAACACACTTCCTGCGTTGCTGAGGAGTAGGTAGTGGTAGCATTACCATTAAAGCTCCGGTTCCGACTTCATAACTCCCCAACGGCATGTGCGGCAAATGTAATCATCTGAATTAAGATAATGCGAGCCGAAGGTATACATACATTTTACGATTACTACCCACTCGGTCCTATAGTTTCTCTTCCGGTCGGAAATTCGAACTCGAGTCAATTAGTGTTAATTACAGCCCTCCCCCCAATTTTCCCAGTATGACAACACTTACTTGTATCCTTGCGATTCCACCGTCACGCTGAAAGGCCACAGCCACCGCCCGTACAGGGGGCCACAGTCCCGGAAGGGTGCACCCCAGAACTGAGCCCCGTTGCTTTGGTTCCACGCGGCTCCCAGCTCTCGCCAGTAGGTGGACAGAAAATTCCTACTCTCCGAAAGATTGGCATGGGCGGCGTCGATCTTGTCACGGAACTGTACCACCGCCAATGGGAGCCGAGGGGAAGCAATTCCAACCGCCAGCAGGCCACTATCCTCGCGGAGTACGCCAGTGGCCAGGTCGTTGGCCTTATCGCGAGCAATTTTCAACTTCCGGTCATCTTTGCTAGTATCGATCCGTTTGGCGGCAAGGAAGTCGGCAAACGATTTGGCAGCTTGAATGGTGAGTTCCGATACGTCGTAGAACGGATCGGGCGGCAGCTCATCTAGCACTTTTGGCTCACACGGCGGGAGAGTAATGGCGGCAGTGGCGGCGGCGGCGGCGGTGGATGACTCCAGATCGGAAGAATCGGCTTGAATGAGTTGCTGCTGTTCCAAGGCATGGCCGGAGCTCTGGTGGAATGCTAGCTGAAGAGCGAGGGCGAGTGCGATCAGCCATGGCGTTGGTTTGGACCGGCAGCAGTGACAGCGATGATCCCGGTGATGGTGCTGATGGCGAGAATGACCCATCACCGTGCTTTGTGTGTCGAATTGTGACTACAATGTGCTACGATAAACATCTGCGGGAGGAGAGGAGAGAACGGGGTGATTAGATGGTTGTCGTTTCTATGAGGTAGCTATTGCTGCTCAGATAGACATCGTGATAAAGAGCGGGATGGTAGACATTAGCCGAAATATAAATGGTATTGAAAAATTAATTTGTAAAAAATTGGACAATATGAAAAACTCATTTTTTTTTCAAATTACTGCGGAAAAACAATTAGCTGTAACGAATGATACAGTGTATCTAGGATGATTCAGTCGGAATTCGAACAAAATACCGGACGCAAAAAACGTAAATTAGTAATTAGTAATAGTGATAATGTTTTTCAAGAAAATGCGAGTTTTGCGGATGTTGTAAAAATACATAGTCGTGTAAGTAAAAATAAAAATATTAGTAACAGTAACAGTTACAGTAACAATAACAGTTACAGTAACAGCAACAGTAACAAACAGAGTAATCGTAAGACTCGTCCGGTCATTGTGATTATACCAAAAGAGTCCAAACAAGCTTGCGAAGATACTCGTAAGTTTTTGAAAACACAGTTAGATCCAAAAAAACACACAATCAGAATTTTAGAAATGGTAAAGATGGCTCTATTACTGTTGAGTGTGCAACAGGAGCTAATCTAAATGACGTAAAAACTGGGTGAAAATTATAGTGCTGTTGTTCTCACTTCCGATGTCTTCTTTGACTACTTAAAAAGTCAAAATGAAGACATCGTTATAAATTATGTAAAAGTAGTTAACATGTTTGCATTCCACGCTTCACCTATAACAAGTTAAGTGTTGTAATTGAAGTCGATGTCGATACGTATAAATGTTTGTTTTGTGCGAAAAAAGTAAATGTAGGTTTTGATCGGTGCTCGATAGTTCCCGCGATTAATGTGCTGAGATGCTTCAAATGTGGAGAATTTGGGCACAAGAGCATTGATTGCAAAAATTGTTAGAGATGCTCTCGGTGCAGCCAACAACACAAAAGGTCGGAGTGTACGTCAACTGTTTGAAATGTATTAATTGTTTGAAAATGAATAAATAACGTAAAATGAACTTGGACGTCAACCATGCCGCATTTAGCTTGGAATGTTTGCTCTATAAAATACTTTTTGATCAGAAGAAAAGCAGCTTGCGTTTCAGAAAATAGCAGCCAAGTTCCAGGAATGTGAATGAATTCGATTTTTTGTGTTTGAATATTGCAGGGTTGGCAACAAACTACGTAGCATTACGTCAGATTGTTGAGGAAAAACGTCCTCTTTTAGTTTTATTATCTGAAACTCATATTGTAGAAACCGAAGCTTTTGATCAGTATAGTACTCCGGGATATATTGTTGCTGCTTGTTTATCACATTCTAGACATACTGGCAGTGTTGCTATTTATGTCAAAGAATCAGTTCAATTCAACCTTTGTACCAATGAAGTTATTGATGGCAACTGGTTCTTGGGCATTACAGTTCTACGTGGCATGAAGATGGGTAATTATGGTGTTTTGTATCATTCTCCCAGTTCTAGTGACCAGCGTTTTATTGAAATTTTAGAGAACTGACTCGAGACATTCCTTGATTATAGTAAATTAAATATATTGGCTGGTGATTTTAAAATTAATTGGCGTGATAACCATAATTCGAATCATTTGAGGCATTTAGCTGAGTTTTTATTTAATTAGAGCAAACGATAAATGAGTATACGCGTATTTTCAGGCACAGTAAAACTTTAAATGACCACGTTTATTCCAATTTTGATTCCATTTGTTCAGTTACGGATACTGATTTGAAAATAACCGATCATGAGACTTTAGTGATTAATGTCTTAGACCATGTTAACGATAACGATAATTTTGTAAAATTGAAGTGCTGAAGGAAATAATCTTGTTGAGAGGAGCGTGAATTTTCCATTCGCGAAAGGTAACTTAGATGAATCTACAGCTGTTCTTAATAACGCTTTGAAAACGTGTACCAATCAACTAGTTAAGCAAAAGTTTGTTTCTTTGAAAAACTCGAACAACTGGTACAATTTGGATCTTTTGCGTCTTAAACGGAAAAAGGACAAATGGTACAAAAAGTTTTGTAGATCAAATAATGACAATCATTCGAATAGGTACACAATCGCGCGCAATAAGTATTCACAATCGATAAAGAAAAGTTTTATTTATCGATTGTGAATACTTATTGCGCGCGATTGAAAACCAGAGTTGGGAAAAAACCGGTTGCGTACCGGTGTGGTTCAGCAAAGCAGAACACGTGTTCTCGACTGCTACACATCGTGTTTGGTTTAGATGCTGGTTGTGTTTCCATCGAAGCTTGTAAACCAATGCGTGTTTCGTTTACACGACACTCCGGTTTATGTTTGGTTTTCGTTTTCCGGTAAACGAGTTTGGTATGTAAAAATTGAAAAACACAAAACCGAACCAAGGTTGTGTAGCGGTTGTGTTTTCGGGTTGATATTTTACGGACGTGCAAGTGGTGCCAGATTTTTTTTACATTTTATATAATTATTTTAAAATTATCTCAAAACATCTTACTCATATCAACAATTTATGCCCGTAACCATTTCAAAATCCAAGATGGCGACTTTGGGTTAGAGAAAAACTGGGAAATACTGTTAAATACCCCACAATATGGGTATTTTTAGAACGGAAATAGATGTCTGACGCCATTTTGAAATCCAAGATGGTGGCTTCCGGTTAGAGAAAAACTGAAAAATACTGTCAAATACCCCAAAATATGGGTATTTTTGGAATCGGAATGACGTGTAGGGACTGGAAATCGATGTCTGACGCCATTTTGAAACCCAAGATGGTAACTTCCGGTTAGAGAAAAACTGGGAAGTACTGTCACTACCCCACAATATGGGAATTTTTGGAATCGGCATGACGTGTAGGGACCGGAAATCGATGTCTGACGCCATTTTGAAATCCAATGTGGTGACTTCCGGTTAGATAAAAGCTTGGAAATACTGTCAATACCCCAGAATATGGGTATTTTTGGAATTGGGATGACGTGTAGGGACCAAAAATCAATGTCTGAAGCCATTTAAAAATCCAATATGGTGACTTCCGGTTGGAGAAAAACTGGAAAATACTGTCAATACCCCACAATATGGGTAGTTTTGGAATCGGGATGACGTGCAGGGACCGGAAATCAATGTCTGACGCCATTTTGAAATCCAAGATGGTAACTTCCGGTTAGAGAAAAACTGGGAAGTACTGTCACTACCCCACAATATGGGAATTTTTGGAATCGGCATGACGTGTAGGGACCGGAAATCGATGTCTGACGCCATTTTGAAATCCAATGTGGTGACTTCCGGTTAGATAAAAGCTTGGAAATACTGTCAATACCCCACAATATGGGTATTTTTGGAATCGGGATGACGTGTTGGGACCGAAAATCAATGTCTGACGCCATTTTGAAATCCAATATGGTGACTTCCGGTTAGAGAAAAGCTTGGAAATACTGTCAATACCCCACAATATGGGTATTTTTGGAATCGGGATGACGTGTAGGGACCGAAAATCAATGTCTGACGCCATTTAAAAATCCAATATGGTAACTTCCGGTTGGAGAAAAACTGGAAAATACTGTCAATACCTCACAATATGGGTAGTTTTGGAATCGGGATGACGTGCAGGGACCGGAAATCAATGTCTGACGCCATTTTGAAATCCAAGATGGTAACTTCCGGTTAGATAAAAACTGGGAAGTACTGTCACTACCCCACAATATGGGAATTTTTGGAAACGGGATGACGTGTGGGGATCGGAAAACAATGTCCGACGCCATTTTGAAATTCAAGATGGTGGCTTCCGGTTAGAGAAAAACAGGAAAATACTGTAAATACTTCTTCCTTTGACAGTATCTAAAATCAAAGAATACTTTTCGATATACACATTTTTGAAAAAAAAAAGAAGCTTCTTAAAAAACCCTCCCTCCAAAAACATGACACCATCCATATTTTGCCTAAAATCATTATAAATTCATGACAAAGGAGTGATTTTGGCTAGATGGGGTGGTTTAATATTGTTGGCCAGCTAGATAAGAAAATACCCCACTGTGCGACGATACATAAACATACGTACATCTCTTTAATTACAAGCACACACATTCATGAGCACTTTGTTTCCACATCTATAGGCCACTGCCGTTATACAGTGAAGACATCTGCTTTAGTTTAGAGAAAGAGCAGAAAAACGTAAACAAACGAAGTTGCACGAAAGTCTGGCCCAGCTTTAGAAGGAGTTGAGAAATTTTGCATTTTGTTTAAAAGGAGATATTTTGCTATAGTCGGCTCCACGCCAACTGACGAATCGACCAGACCAGAAGATTGTTTGCTGTTCCGCGAGGCATCCTTCCTTTGACGGTGATTGCGGTATCATCTGGGAACAGAAAAACCACGCAACAGTCTCCGAGGGGAGGAATGTTGGAAGTGTAGATGCTGTATAGCAAACGGCCCAGCAGATTTCCTTCGATTTGCGGTCGCTACACGTCATTCTGATTCCAAAAATACCCATATTGTGGGGTATTTGACAGCCTTTTCCAGTCATCTAACTAGAAGCCGCCATCTTGGACTTCAAAATGGCGTCAGACATCTATTTCCGGTCCCTACACGTCGTCCCGATTCCAAAATACCCATATTGTGGGGTATTTGACAGTATTTCCCAGTTTTTCTCTAACCGGAAGTCACCATCTTGGATTTAAAAATGGAGTCAGACATCGCTTTCCATTCCCTAACTGTCATCCCGATCCCAACAATATCCATATTGTGGGGTATTTGACAGTATTTCCTAGTTTTTCTTTAACCGAAAGCCACCATCTTGGATTTAAAATTGGTGTCAGGCATCGATTTCCGGTTCCAACATGTCACCACGATACCAAAAATACACATATTGTGAGTTATAATTGGATTTAAAAATGGCATCAGACATTGATTCTTGGTCCCTACACGTCATCCCGATTCTAAAAATACCTATATTGTGGGGTATTTGACAGTATTTCCAAGCATTTTTCTAACCGGAAGTCGCCAT